TCTTAAAGAGATTATTAAGCGCATAGAAGTAATATCATTCTACAAGAAAATTTCCCCGCGAAGTGGTTGATACAAGAACATCCACTCAACGAGTAGGGTGTTCAATTTGGTTCCATTTGGATTATCTATAAGGCAAGCCAAACTTTATTTATTAGAAGAAATATCGACCAAACAAAATTAAGGTAAAATAATGGCAACCCATTTTTTGGGAAAAGTGTTAAAAAAGTCCTAAACCTTTTGCATTTGTGCCGATTGAATTCTAAACCTTTTTTTGGTGCCAATTGAATCTCAAACCTTTTGTTTTTGTGCCAATTCAGTCCTTCTGCCTAATTTTGGCCAAATTTTGCTGACGTGGACGACGGCTGGCGACCAGCCGCCGGCACTAACGTGTATAACTTTTAATAATATTTTAATAAGTTTTTGAATTTTTAATAATTTTTTCTTTTTTTTTCCCTCCCCTCCCTCTTCCTCCAGTCGGTCGCCAGATTGACGACTAGCCAGAGACCTTGCCGGCCTCTGGCGAGCCACGACAGCCATTGGCAAGGCTCACCCCCCCTCGCCAGAGGCCACGAGGACGCGGCCTCTAGGGAGGGCTGGAGTCTTGTCGACGACTGGGCGAGGCACGACCTCGCCGGATCTAGCGAGGTCGGGCCTTGTGCGAGCCTTGCTAGCGGCTGGGCAAGGCACGACCTCGCCAAATTTGGCAAGGTCGAGCCCTCGCCCAGCTACTGGCAAAGGCCGCGAGGGCGGCCTTGCGTTAGGCTGGCGAAGGTCGAGCCCCGCTTGCCATCGGCGAGGCCTGACCTCGCCAGCGGCTTGTAGAGGTCGTGAGGTCACTGCCACCCTCGCCAGCGGCTAAAGGAAGAAGAAATGAAAAGAAAAGAAAAGAAAAGAAAAAAAATTAAAATATTAAAAAAATTCGAAAAATATTAAAATATTATTAAAAAATTTCCACGTTATCGCCGGCAGTGCCACGTAAGTTGACCGGTGTCCACGTCAGCAAAATCTGGCCAAAATTAGCCTTAAGGACTAAATTGGCACAAAGACAAAAGGTTTATGACTCAATTGACACCAAAAAAAGGTTTAGAACTAAATTGACACCAATGCAAAAAGTTTAGGACTTTTCTGGCACTTTTTCTCCCATTTTTTACATAGTTTGGATTTGTTCTCAATTTAGCTCAATCCGAAACCACTAGCGTCAAACTCAGAGTAAGTAAAGGTGGCCTTAAGCTCATACTGAACAATAAACTCATAGTAAACCATTGACTGATATATTTTGAAAAGCATTATCATATCACAGTAATAATGCATCTTTGCTGAGAAAGAGTCAAATAAAAGAGAGGTGGTGACGTAGATAGTGTCTTCCAACTTTTCTTTATAGTTCAATATCGTTTTTAAACTTTTTCCTTATTTAATTTAATCCCTAAACTTTCAAAATTCTATTCGTCCCTGAAACCAAAAAGCTAAGGGATTAGCTAACATGGATGCTAACGCTGTGAACTTGCTGTCAAATTTGCATAGTGGCCCATCCACATCTGCACTCTCTCTTTGATTAGAGGCAAACAACCTGAGATCTAGGGCTGTCCCGACCTTTTAGAGGTCACGATAGCCTAAGGTTTGAGGCAGCGCGCCCTAGAGAGAGATGGAAATATTGTGATGTTGGTTAGTATTAAGGATAACAACGCATGACTCGTTCAAATTTAAAATATTTTGAATTAGTCCATTCTTATTTCATGTAGTTATTACTGTAATTGACTAATTCAAAATTCAAAATGTTTTGAATTAGTCAATTTATATCTCATGTAGTTCTATGACTGCCAGTAGATAAACTCTATAAATACAAATGCTACCCTAGAGTTAAAAGACAAGCAAAAAAAAAAAAAACTCAGGGTCTTATTCTTACATGGTATCACTCAACTAGTAGGATCCTTGGAAACACCTCCGCTATTCCTTATTTTTCTTCCATTTTTGGACCTCTCATATTCACGATGTCATCTCCCACCTCCACTTCGGCTATGCAATACCACTTTAGCCTCAAACTTTCCGGTGATAACTTTCTATTGTGGCAAACCCAATTGTTTCCGTTGCTTCGCAGCCAGTCCCTAATGGGATACTTTGACGGCATCATTATCTATCCCACTCCAACCATCACCTCCATGGGCACCACTACGGTTGCACCGCACCCTTCATATGATGAATGGATTCAGAAAGACCAACTTACTCTTAGTTGGATGATATCTTATTTTTCACATGATGTCCTGCTCTATGTGGTTGGATTAGCTACTGCTGCCGATGTCTGGAAGGCTCTACAAACTGCCTATGAATCTCTACTGTATACAACCATTCTTTAGCTTCATATGCAACTCCAGAATACATCCAAAGGTGACAAGTTTGTCTCAACTTATCTCTGCGAAGTAAAGTACATTTCAGATCAATTAGCTGCTGCCAATTGCCCTCTAGGGAATGAAGAATTAAATGTCATTGTCTTCCGTAATCTTGGTTCTGATTTTTCTAACATTATTGCTGTCTTGGCTACAAAACCTGATCCGATAACCTTACCTGAACTCCATCGATTGCTCCTCAATCACGAGCTTCGAACAAAGTCTGCCACGGTGCCTATAGAGGCAAATCTTACCACTTACACCCCTCTATCATTCACCCTTACCATTCAACCATAACCGATTTCCAATTTCCAACTATCTACCACCCAAAATCCTCAATATCGTTGGCAAGGCAACCGACGCAATCATGGAAACCCAGACAATAGACCCATGCCAAATTTGTCAGAAATATAACCATACGACTGCAAGATGTTATTTCAGGTATTCGCAGCCTAACAACAGTGCACCTCAGCCTACTGCTAATATGGCTAGGATTCTTCCTACCCCATTGCAGCAAGACTAGTTTTCGGATATTACAGTTACTCACCATGTGATGCTTGACATCGCCAATCTGCAAATCTCTGCACCACATAACGGTAACGAATCTCTTCGTGTATGTAATGTAGCAGGTTTAGACATTGTTACATTGTTAATGTCAGTTCTTCCACTCTTAAAATCCCTGTTAACAAATCTTTTAATTTCTGAAATATCCTTCATGTCCCTACCATTACACGTAATTTGCTTTCTGTACACAATTTTAAAGGTGATAACAACTGCTTCTTTGAGTTTTATCAATTTCACTTTGTTGTGAAGGATTTGCAGACCAAAATACCACTACTCCAAGGTTTGCTTAAGGATGGACTATACCAGCTGCCGCGTCTTTATACCACATCTCCATCCGCCAATACCATCTCACTTGATACTTCCGCCACTGCCACTACTTGGCACGCCCGAATGGGTCATCCCCAACAAAGCAAAGTTTGCTCTTTGATTCATTCAAACAATTTGCCATGTTCTACATTTAATTTCAATAAATATGCTTCCTGTTTGTTAGGCAAATCTCATAAAACACCTCTACCGCCACTCATAGCATTAGTAAAGCACCTCTTGATTTAATTTTTACTGATGTATGCGGACCTACTCCAATTAATTTTGTTTCCGGTTATAAGTATTTGTTTGTTGATGATTTTTCCAAATATACTTGGTACTATCCCATTCAAAATCGGTTTATGTTCCCTTCCATTTTCAAAAGATTCAGGACCATGGCTGAGAAACAATTTGAAAAATCAATCTAGTCGTACAGTCTGATTGGGGTGGGGAATACAGAACCTTGAATAAAAATTTACAAATAATGGAATTCTCCATCGTGTAGCATGTCCACACACTCACGAGCAGAACAGAGCAGCTGAGCGAAAAATTTGCCATATTGTTGATACCGGCCTTACGTTATTGGCCCATGCATCTCTTCCTCTTGAGTATTGGCCGTACGCTTTTGAAACCACAATTTACCTTATTAACATATTACCCACACCACTCTTAAACAATATCTCACCTTTTCAAACACTTTTCCATCAAGAACCGGATTACAAGATTTTGAAAATATTTGGTTGTACTGTTTTCCCTTTATTAAGGCCATACGATTCGCATAAGTTTTCGCTCCATTTTACTTGGGATATAGTCCATTGCATGTTGGTTACCGTTGTTTAGATTACAAAACTGGACACATTTATATTGCAAGACACGCTCATTTTATTGAAAATATTTTTCAGTTTGCTACACTTGGTTTACATCCTTCTGAAATACTCTCACCATCACATCCTTGCCTGATGATCTCCACGGCTTGTATGTCCTCCCACGCGAACCTTGGTGTTAATAGTAATATTCTACCTTCTACCCCACCCTTTAGCACCTCCCCACCCACCTTTGAAGAACCATCACCGACATTATCAAATACTAATACTGCTTCGATGTCTAACACGTTGGTTTCTAGTCCGTCTAATACTGGTACAAGTTCTAATGAGGCTCTTTCAAACGCCTCCCCATAGCAGGCTATTGTGATACCTCCACAACCGATTTATCAAAAGTTATGAACCCATTTAATCCGGCTATATCAAAACCCAAAGCCCAACACTATATATCCATTGCCAAATGTGAACATGAATGGAATAAGCTCTAAAGAAGAGCCACAGTGCTTCACTAAAGCTAATAAAGATGAAAAATGGAGGGACGTGATGCTCCAAGAATTCAATGCTTTGTTGCGTAATGGAACATGCGTTAAGGTTCCACCGAATCCCAAAGCAAATGTCGTGGGCTCCAAATGGGTTTATCGAGTCAAGACACATGCATATGGTTTGATAGGCCGGTAAAAAACCCGCCTAGTGGCTAAGGGCTACAATCAGCAAGAGGGTATTGACTATACAGAAATGTTTAGTCCTGTTGTTAAAGCAACCACCGTCCATATAGTTATTTCGTTGGCTATGACAAAGAACTGGAAACTTCAGCAATTGGATGTTAGCAACACATTTTCAAAAGGTAACTTAACTGAAAAAGTTTACATGGCCCAGCCCCAGGGCTTCATTGATAAAGAAAGGCCAAATCATATATGCAAGCTACAAAAATCCTTATACGGATTGAAACAAGCACCGCGAGCTTGGTTCCACCAGTTGAGCATCTTTTTAGAATCACTAGGATTTATTGGATAAAAAACTAATACTTCTCTCTTTATAAAACATCGGCCCAATTTCTCCATTTACATGCTCATCTATGTTGTCGGTTCAACTCCTGCCTTCATCATCTTCTCCAACAAGACTGTAGCATCTTTCCATTGGCCTAGGTTGCATAAGCAATGAACCAACGAGCTACAAATGAATATGTTGGGTTGGATGCCTCTGCTCATCATCTCTTTCAACAATACGAAAGCATCTTCCAGCTGGCCTACATTGCACAGACCGTGGATCAAGTTGTTATAAGTAACAACATCTAGTTGGACGCCTTTCCTGCTCATACTTTCGTGGAGTCTCAAGGCTTCTGTTAGCAATCCCTTTTTGTAAAGACTATCAATTACTATGTTGTATGTGAAGGAATTGATCCTGCAGCTTCTCTCTTCCCAGTCCCTTAGCAATTCAATCGCCAATATGGTGTTACCTGCGCTACATAAACCCTTCACGGTGATTGCATATGTGGTCTCATTAGGTTGGGGGCCTTTGCATTGCATATAATCAAGCAACCTCAGTGCTTGATCAATTCTGCCATTAATTAAAAGACCGTCGATTAGGGTGCTCAATGTCACCACATTGATTTCAAAATTAAGCTTTAAGATTCTACCTAGGCAGGACAAACCCAAATCAACCCACTTTGACCGAAAAAAGCAATTCAAGGAAATAGTCAGCAAAACAAGATCATTTTCAATCCCTAATGAATGCGGCCGCCCAATAACCCGAAACCAGAAATTGAGATAAGAAGGATGAGCAAGACAGAGAAAGGGATGCGAGGACTCACTGGAGATTCCAATTCGAGCATGAAGAATGAAGACGGAACCGCAGAGACCCATTCGCACGATGAACAAAAACTCCAAGTATGGCAGACTTAAAAAAGCCAGATTGATGGGCATGAGACTCAATGAGATGATGTATGAAAGAGTGTGTCGTTAACCTGGCTCAGACGATCATTTAAACACATTTTCAATGGGAAAATGGCTAGATTTCGGAGACCAATCGAGAGTTTAACCAGAAAAGGAAGAAACTCTGTTCATGGTGAGATACTGAACCCACAACTCCATCGTTGATAAATCTGCAGAAAAACCCATTCCAACCATTTCACTGATAAGTTGTTCAGCCCTCACATTTTCATTGTTTTTTAGAAGTCCCTGGATTATTGTATTATAAGTGACACCATTTGGAGAGCATCCATTTCCCTCCATCTCCTTCAGCAGTTGATATGCTTCCTTAGTGCGTCCTTCTTTGCACAATCCACTCATAATAATCGAGTATGTCCAGACGTCAGGTTGCAAGCCTCGAGCATGCAAAGAATTAAATAGTTCCATTGCATCTTTGAGCTTTCCAGCATTGCACAGGCCATTTATTAGAATACTGTAAGTCACAATGTTTGGAACTAATTTCAAATCTTCCATACGTCGAAGCGACGTCATGGCCTTGTCAATCTGTTGTATTTTACACATGCCATCCAAAAGAGTATTAAAGGTATAACAATCTAAACATAGATGACGAGATGGCATCTCGTTAAGCAGCTCTTCCGCGGCTTGAAGGTTCCCAACTTGACAATATCCTTTTATGAGAGTGTTATATGTGATTACATCAGGAATCAAGCCCCTTTGAAGCATCTCCTGGAAAAGTAGTATAGACTCGTCTACTCTTTTTGCTCTGCAGTATCCGTTGAGCAGTGTGTTATAACAAACAATATCGGGGGAGCTGCCCATTTCAACCATCAAAGTAAGTACTCTCCTAGCATCGTTCATCCTATTTTGCAAGCAATAGCCATTCATCAATGTACTATAAGTGAAATTATTAGGCATTTTACCTAATCGAATCATCTGATTGATCATGGACTCTGCCTCGGTAAGCATTCCCTCTTTACAATGTGCATCCACCAAAACAGTGAAGGTTCGAACATTCGGCATTACTCCGCCTCGCAGCATATGATCGAGCAATCTCCAAGCCTCTATCGAATGGCCAGAAGTGCACACACCTTGAATGACGGAGTTATGAGTAACAATGTCCGGCACAATGCCCGCCTTCGTCATCACCTCCAACAATACCGTCGCATCTTTCCATTGGCCTAGGTTGCTTAAACAATGAACCAACGAGTTATAAGTGAATATGTCGGGTTGGATGCCTCTACTCGTCATCTGTTTCAACAATACGAGAGCATCTTCCATCCGGCCTACATTGCACAGACCGTGGATCAAGGAGGTATAAGTAACGACATCTGGTTCGATGCCTTTCCTACTCATACTCTCGTGGAGTCTCAAGGCCTCTGTGATCAATCCCTCCTTGCAAAGACTATCAATTACTATGTTGTACGCGAAGGAATTGACCCTGCAGCTTCTCTCTTCCCATTCTCTTAGCAATTCCATCGCCAACCTGGTGCCACCTGCCCTACATAAACCCTTCACAGTGATTGCATACGTGGTCTCATTAGGCTGGGGGCCTTCTCGTCGCATATAATCGAGCAACCTCAGTGCTTGATCAATTCTGCCATTAATTAAAAGACCGTCCATTAGGGTGCTCAATGTCACCACATTGATTTCAAAATTGAGCTTCAAGATTCTACCCAAGCAGGACAAACCCAAATCAACCCGCTTCGACCGACAAAAGCAATTCAAGGAAATGGTCAGCAAAACAAGATCATCTTCAATCCCCAGCGAATGCAGCCGCCCGATCAACCCGATCGCGGTCGAGTACTGCTTCATCCTCACCACAGCACCCAACAGCAGATTGAAATCCATAGCGGGGGGCAAAGGGTTCATCTTTACCATCCTATCGAAGCAGGCCACGGCGTCATCGGCGGTCCTCAACCCTCCGCCGCCAGCCCTGCAGCTCCTCCTCACGTAATTCAAGAGCCGGGTCGGGTCGTCCAAACCGGGCTCGGGGGTCGAAGAACAGGACCTCGGAACCCGAAACCAGGAATCGGGACAAGGAGGAGGGTGAGCAAGGCGGAGGAAGGGATGGGAGGGCTCGCTGGAGATTCCGATGCGAGCACGAAGGAGGAAGACGGAACCGCAGAGACGCGTTCGCGTCATCGTCGGCCGACAGCAACTGGCGCCCGTGGCTTGCTTAGTGAAGTGCGGTAGTGGTGGCCACGGGCCGGTTTCGGCCCGGAACCGGACCGGTCAAACCCGGGCCCGGCCCGTTGACCGGGCCCGCGGTTTGGAACCGGAACCGGGCCCGTGCCCTACGGGCCCGGTTCCGGTTCCAGAAATTATTGAACCGGCCCGGAACCGGCGGTTCCGGGCCCGGTTCCGAAAAAAAAAAAAAAAAAACTGCTGCACTCTGCACTGCAGAGTCGGCAGTGCAATGCAGTCACTGCAGCTAGTATATAAAGGTTTTGGTCTGAACATCAACATTAGTGATTGTGAGCATCCTTGGGGGAGCCGGCAGGCATGCGCCCGTGTTAGTAAAGGGATTCAGGGATAGGGCCGGAGAATATCGGGTTTGGGATTCGATCCCTATCGCATACACAATTACATAGAAGAGAAAAATAAAGCAAAAGAAACACCCTGAGGCTGGCCGAGGGTGGCCGTTGCCCGTCTTCGGGCGTCGCCGGTCACCGGCAAAGAAAAAAACAAAATGTCAAAAAATAAAAATAAAAGATAAAAGAAGAAAATATCCTTAACCATCTGGAAAGTCGGACCCTTCTTTGAAACGTACGTAGACATCTCAAGTACTTATTTAGAATAAGATTCACTTCGTATCTTTATTTGAGGCCCTAATTTGAGCACATGATGGTACTCGAGGCATTTATTTGGAAATTTTCCTTTCAATCATGGTTACTTTTCCAAGCATAATCGGTCGATGCAACTCCACGTTTCAATCGCTGTTTTTAAGGTATTATGTTTCAATCGAACGTGTCTTCCCTAAAAAAGGAAAAAGAAAAAAACAAGACCTCTCGACCATTTAAGACATCGCAGCTATGGTCAACATACCGCATGGCGTCCTCGCCCGACCGTGCTCTGTTTCTCATTTCCCCTTTCCCTTGCTGCGCTAAACCTGCCGAAGTCGTTCTTTCTCCCCAGATGAAGTTGCAGTAGTGTTGTTTGGAATCGACCATGATGACGCCGGGCCAGATGTAACTCAAGCAAGTCGGCGACCATTCCAACCCTCATTCAACCAAGAGCAAGCCAAGCCAAGCCAATGCCATTTAGCATCCTCGTCGTCCCCTGTAAACACCCTCTTCGCCGGTTCACCAGAAGCTTCAACGCATGGGCTCGATCCATAAGGAAAGCCGCCGTCTCTCACCCGCACAGACCCCACAAGGCCTTTGACCTCTACTCGCGGATGCATCGCTGCGGCATCCCTTTCGATAGCTTCTCGGTTCTTTACACGGTGAGGTCCTGCGCTAACTTGCGCGACCCGACGGTCATCCGTCACCTCCATTGCCATGCCGTTAAGCTCGGGTTCGGTTCCCACGTCTACGTCGCCTCGTCTCTGCTGCACGCGTATGTCGTCGCGTCTTTTCGGGATGCTCGCGTACTGTTCGACGAAATGCCCCAGAGAACCACGGTGAGTTGGAATACTATGATCACCGGGTTTGCAAAGTCGGGCGACGTGGAGAAGGCGCGTTCAGTTTTCGCGGAAATGCCTAGGAGGGATGTCTCTTCGTGGTCTGCCATGATTGCGGCGTATGTGAATTACGGCAGTGTAGTTTCTGGATTAGTGCTGTTTCGGGAAATGATGGTAAAGGAGAGATTGTTTCCCGACCAAGTGACGGTCTGTTCCGCCTTGACCGGGTGTGCTCGGATTGGTTCCTGCGGTTTGTTGGCCGGGAAATCAATTCATGGTTTTGTGGTGAAGAATTCGTGGGAGATGAATGTTGCGATCGGGACTGTTTTGGTCGATATGTACACCAAGTGTGGATTCTTCAAGCAGGCTGTCCGCATATTTGACATGATGAAGGAAAAGAACGTCATGACGTGGACGGCGTTGATTTGTGGGTCGGCGCAACATGGTTTCAGCGAGGAAGCACTATCTTTGTTCGAGATAATGCAAAAGAGGGGGGTGAAGCCAAACGAATTGACTTTCACTGGGGTTTTGAGCGCTTGTACCAATACAGGCTTAGTAGAGGAGGGACGCAGATACTTCAATTTGATTGAGGAATATGGATTGGAGTTGAGAATTCAACATTATGGATGCATGGTTGATTTACTTGGTAAGGCGGTACTGCTAGATGAGGCTTACGAGACGATTCAGACCATGAAATATGAACCCAACGTGATTGTTTGGACTGCCTACTTGTCAGCTTGCAAGACGCATAATCAATTCGGGATGGCTGAACGAGTAATTGACCGGGTCTTGAGGATGGTGAAGCCGGAGAATGATGGAGGCATTTACACACTCATATGCGATATCTATGTCTTGAGCGGGAAGTGGGATGAGGCACAAAGGATAAGAGAATTAATGACCAAAGAAAGTGTGAGAAAGGTCACTGGATCTAGTTCTGTCAAAAGCTGAATACGATGGCCAGTTTTTCCATGGCTTGTGTCTCCCATGATCGAACAGTGCACAATGAAACCCCAGGATGGCAGTAGGATGGGTTGCATTTTCTGCTAAAACATTGTGTAGGTGGTTCTCAGGTATCAACCTTGGATCTAATTCATTTCATTCTTTGTGGAAGCATGCTCTTCTCCTATACATACAAGATTTTGGAAGAGATTGCCATATCGTGTACAATGATACCCCAGGACCAAGAGTTGAAGAGCAGCTGACAATTTACCGATCCCTGAACTGAGTGCATTATTGTTGCCTTTTGGATAAATTATAGAGACTTGCCGTCTGACTCTCACCGTTGGTTTTCAAGAATCAACATTGAAATCTGCACTAAGGGCTGAAAAGCTGATTGCTGGATCTGTGTGCCCTTATATTGATAGTTGAATCTTAAGTTTAGCTGGCCGCTAGTGCGATTGTGCTCTCAAATGAAGATAGCATGATTTGCTTTTGTATTTTGTACTTTCTTCTTCTCTTTCTCTTGGGCTGAGAATTTTTACTGACATGTTCAAATTGTACTTTGTATAGGGATAGTCAGAGGTCACCTTAATTCTTTGAATGAGGAATAGGATATAGTTCTACTCTTGCTTGACGAGTAACGCCCAAATGATTCTTTATCATGAAACCGACATATTTCTGTTGTGCAATGTACATTTGCAACATTATCTTTCAGCAATTTTCCCGGAGTCGATTGCAAGTTGTACTATGCTTCCACTTTTCCTCCTCTTTTCCTTGGTTAGAAATTTGGTTTTCTTATTACATTTTCTTTGATTTTACTGCTTCCTCTGTACGTCTTATTAGTCAAGGTGGGAAGGATTATGGAATTTCGATAAGGAGTCACCGTTCGATTCTTTGGACAGACCTTTGCTCAAGGAATGACTGGTGGACAGCTTCCTTCTACTCTGGAAGAGTAAGCTTGACTGATTTTTTCACTGCAGCTCGCCTTGTCACATAGCATGCGACTACTGCGCATAAAGTAAACAGTGCAGAAGCCTAAGATCAAATGATAGTCGAATCAGGTTCAATAAGGACCCAAGATCACTTAAAGTGTTGGTTGGCGTGCTTCAGAGAGGACGACTTGGGCTGCGTTTGGGAGCACTTGGGGGAAAGTCTTTGGCAAAATCCAAAGGACTTTAAGTTGAAGGAGTTTTCTGAAATGCAAATTGTGTTTGGTAAGTTATAACTTAAAAGTCCATTGCAAAGCAACTTTTGGTAAAATAGCGTTTGGAAAAATTATACTTGCAAGGCACTATTTTTATTTTTTATTAAAGAAAAGTTGAAACCCTTCGCCGGAGCCAGCGACCCAGATTTGGCGCTGGCGGCTGTCGTCTGAGGCCGAACGATGAGGGCAGCCCCTGATGACCACCGACGAGGGCTGCCTGGGATCAAGCGACTCCTAACGAGGGTCGCGAAACCCAGGTGAGGGCCGCCGACGACCCAGATCTGGTGTTGGCGGCTGTCGTCTGAGGCCAACTGACGAGGGCAGCCCTCGGAGACCACCGACGACGGTCGCCTGGAGTCGAGCAACCCCCGACAAGGGTCATGAAACCCAGGCGAGGGCTGCTGACGACCCATATCTGACGCTACGCGGTCATTGTCTGAGGCCGGACGACGAGGGCAGCCCCGGCGACCACCGACGAGGGCCGCTCGCCTAGGTTTCGCGACCCTTGTCGGGGGTCGCTCGACCCCAGGCGGCCCTCGTCGGTGGTCGTCGGGGGCTGCCTTCGTCGATTGGCCTCAGACGACAACTGCCGACGCCAGATCTGGGTCGCCGGCGGCCCTTGAGGGTCATCTGGGTAGCATGCCGAAATCATGCGTTGCCTCTCCGAGGTCGTGCGAGTTCTCGGCGAGGGCCGTCTAGGTTGTGCGACCTCAGGCGGCCCTCGCCTGGGTCGCGTGGCCCGTCACGGTGGTCATGCGACTCCAGGCGACGGTCGCTGAGTTGAGCGACCATGCCAGCCCCTCTCCGGCCTGTCGCCATCCACTCATAGCCACGCCGCCGAGCTAAGTGGAGAAGACGATGAACAGTGATAAACGAGGGCAAAACCGGAAAATCAAAAAATAGATGATGATAGTTTTAGAAGAAATATTTATTACTTAATCGGTAATGTTGCTTACTGAAAATGCTGAAATGCCAAGGCACCTAGGAGGCTGCCTTGGGCTTTTACTCTTCAAAAGGCCAACTTTGACTCAACGGGGTTTCTAAAAAAAATTCTCAAACACCATATTTTAGCGCAAAGGGCTTTAGATGCCCAAAGTGGCTTCCCAAAGCCATTCCCAAACGCACCGTCCAAGGGTTGCTGCACCAAATTGTCTCCGTGAGCATGAAGTCTTTATCTATTACGATGCATCGTCTTCTGCAGGGTTGTGGCGTGGACAGAGAGTAGGATCATGTTTGAGTAACGGTTTAAAGTAATGTAGAGATCTAGCCGGTATGAGCAGATATGCCAGCGCAATGTTTGAGCTTTCGGTTGCAGCGAAGTTCACGTTGATAGCGCTTGAATTCTTACCACGAATATCTACTGCAAGTCGAGAATCAGGCTATTGAGCTCTCCTTCCATGAAAACCAACAGCGAAGGAAGCTCCTGTGCGCCATCTCCCGACATCCGAAGCATCGGACTTATCTAAGACACAGACAGCATTTTGGAAAGTGTAAACTCCTCTGTGAGTTGCAAGATTCATTTTGGAAGTCGCAACAGTTACCCGAGAATATTCAATACAGATTCATTGGTTCATCAAAGACACTGGTTTTCTGCTTAACTAGCAACAAAATGCTTTCGGATCGAGAATCATGAACAGCGACGCGATGGTGCTAACCGAATGCAAGTTCAAGTTCTATGAGAACGTTAGATGAAGGAACGGATTTTAGCGTCATTTAGCGTCATTCTTCCGATTGAATAGGCTCCGAATCCATGAAACTTGACATTTTATGATATACATAGTAAAGTGCACAATCGTTATAACCTTTTTCGGTTCACTAGGGTCGTGCCAGGCATCGAGAGATGAATCCTTAAGATGATAACTTAGCTTCGAAACCCAGCTGCTTTACACGACCCTCGGTATTGATTGGTTTTGGGTCAATTAACTGATGCCAAGTCAGACGACTACCGTCCATCATGGTTCTGCCATTGATCGACATTTAGGAAAAATTACACAAATCATCACCAAAAGTTTTAATTTGTTTAATATTTTCTCTGAACTTTTGATAAATGGACAATTTAGGGCATGTTTGGTAACGCTATAGATTCTCTGATTTTCTGTTCTTTCGTTTTCCGGAACAAAAAAAGAACAGAAATCCGTTTGATAAAGTCAGTCAATTTTTTTATTCCACTGAACAGAAAAGTGGCCAGGAAATAGATATCAAACATAATCAAGAAGTAAAAAAAAAAACTGCTTCTTGATTCTGTTCCACAAACTCCGATATCAAGATCGAGTGGACCGGTTTCCAATTCCACAAACTGGAAATCGATCCTCCTGATCCCGGATCCAAGGTGGAAATCGACTCACCCTGGAATCGATCGTTCCTACAATTGATGTTGTCAGCGACGAGTCCCAAACGAACATCCGACTAGTAATCAAGCACACCAAGCTGATGCTCGAGCACATTGAGCTGGTGCTCTAACTTACTAAACATATGTTTTAGGCTAAGATTGAAGTGTTAATTTTGCGAGATACTCCATTGTAGGTACTGTTAAATCCACAATTAAAAGGTAAAAAAAATGAAAATTGGGAAAAGAGAAGGCTACGTGGAACCCGAAATGGGCCCTGATTGCGTGGATCTAGGCCTCTCGGGGGTGGGTGGGTGCACTTTTTGTGGGGGGATACGTGTTGAGCTGCTCAACCAGAACGGAGGCGATTTTGGGGGTGGGCTGACGTGTCAATGGCCACCCAATAAATTGCCACCAGCAAAACTGGTCAACGACACGTCAGCATTCAAACCCTCTCTAGGTTATGTTAGTTCCTCGGATCATGTGAATGTTCTAATTCCTCCAGCGTAAAGAGTCAACGACCCAATCTCACTGCCTCAGCTACTCGATAAGATTTCGCATGTGAAAGCTCCAAATGTTGCAGCACCCTTCCAACTAAATCAAGATATCGTATAGATTCAAAGATCGATGATTTCGGACATGATGCTAAAAGCGGCACGCGAAGCGAGCAAAACAAGAATAAAAAAAAGAAAAAGAAAAAGAAGTTTCGTTTCATATGACCACGAACGACTCGTAATCAATACTGCTCGGTGATATATTTTTCTTTCCTCAGGTAATAACTGAGTGATCATCATGTTGATCAAAATCCAGCCTCATTTACCAGTGAAATCAGACTATAAAGAATCGCCCCACATGAACACGACGATAAAGCTATCGGTTCGTAATCCCTAGCTAGTGCATTAGGAACTTATGCTGTCAAGATTATGATAATTCAATCGACCCAGAAGAGATCAATGAAATATGCATAGTATAGAAGACTTATTCCACAAAATGTGATCCTCAACTAATAGATTTTCCAACTGGGGTTTGTCCATTTTTTTCTTAGACACAACTGAGGTTGTCTTAAATGTCCTTTATTTACAAATAATTTGGCCAATCAAGCTTTTCACTCCAACTCTATTTTTTCGAAGTTAATTCGGCATTCGATACATCTCATTGCGGCTGGTGAAAGTCGATGAGTTCATGTGATTTTAGCCAGTTATAGATGAACTAACAATCGCTGCTTAGCCACTTAGCCAGTGTTCACGAATGCAAGTCAAGGAAGTTCTGCACCGCAAGTATTGCTGCTGATCAATAATGACAATCACCATGGCAATATCTACAATGCTTGTAATTTGCACATGCAGAAAGTTTTAAATCAATTCCGACATTGATCTGCAGTCCAAATTAGGTGAAACCTCGAGCACAAAGTGTGGTAATAATTACCGAATTAGTCCTAAACTTATTGTACATATGCTATTTAAGTCCTAAACTTTTCAATATCTTGACGTCACTTTAGCAGTTTTCGGTGGCAATTGGTCGGAAAGATTATATTGGAATTTTACGGAAAAGTTTAGAACTATATTCTCAATATTGAAAAGTTTATTACTGAATAAATATCTGTAACAATAGGCTTAGGAATGAATTGGTAATCTTTCCCGAAGGGTGTTAAGCAGCAATTTATTAGAGTTATGATTTTCTCTCTTAATAAGCTTTTTTTTTAATATTTGGGTCGGACTCTTAATGAGCTTTTAATTTAGTTGATTTCTAACTCTCATGTCTATAAACAAGAAGACACAACCCAAAACCCAAGCACTTGGCAAGAGGAAAAAAAAAACACAACGAAATGAAAAATGTTGGGGCCCATATCTCCAACCATACCATATCTACCAATTTTTTTGCTTTTACATTTGCTTATTTATTTATTTATTAGCCATTAAACTATCTCTACCTTAGTGACTTCTACCTCTCTCACTTGTATAAATAGCCCCTCCTCCCACAGCAATTTCTCAAACCTTAAATCCTCATACCAGCCTCACTAGTAGCTACTTCTACCTCCTCCTCCTCTCTTTCTGTGTATAGTAGAAAATGAGGACTAGTGGCACCGTTCCAAGCTTGCCATTATTCTCTCTCTTGTTCATTATGCATAGTGTATTCTTTTGGAGTGCAACCGGCATCTACGGCAACTGGCAGAGCGCCCACGCGACGTTTTATGGCGGCAGCGATGCAGCGGGCACAATGGGTAAGTTAAAAATGTAGGAAAAACTTTCACATATAGTCATATTAGCTAAACATGCTCCTCCATTCTAGCTTCCTACCTTCCCTTCTTGTATAGAAAGGGCATGCTTATATGTCACACATCATCTGTTGCATCAAATATGACATAAGAAAATCCATAAAAGACGTGTACTTTTCTCTGTTGCAGGAGGAGCATGTGGGTACGGCAACTTGTACAGCCAGGGCTACGGGACCCAAACGGCCGCTCTGAGCACCGCTTTGTTCAACAGTGGCTTGAGCTGCGGATCGTGCTACGAGCTTCAATGCAGCAACGACCCGAAATGGTGCATTCCCCGCACGATTATAGTTACTGCCACCAACTTCTGCCCCCCTAACTACGCATTGGCTAGTGACAACGGAGGGTGGTGCAACCCTCCTCGCATGCACTTCGACTTGGCTGAGCCCGCGTTCTTGAAGATTGCCCAGTACCGAGCTGGGATTGTCCCCGTGAGCTTCAGAAGGTAAATTAAATAACTCAAACTAACGATTGAGCTTGAGCTGCCGTTTCCGATGCAGTAACCGTAATTGGTTGCATTGTGCCGTGCCATGACAGGGTGCCATGCGTGAAGAAAGGAGGTATAAGGTTCACAATCAATGGCCATTCATACTTCAACTTGGTGCTGGTCACAAATGTAGCTGGTGCAGGGGATGTCCATGCAGTGTCCATCAAGGGTCCAACGACTGGGTGGATGTCAATGTCGAGGAACTGGGGGCAGAATTGGCAGAGCAATTCATACCTTAATGGCCAAAGCCTCTCCTTCAAGGTCACCGCCAGCGACGGTCGGACCCTCACGACCTATAATGTCGTCCCAGCAGGTTGGCAATTCGGACAGACTTTCGAAGGCGGCCAATTTTAGGTGAATGAAAACGATCTATCTGAGGAGGGGGGGTAAAAGGAAAATCAATAGAAAAAAGAGATCGATATATAACATATAAACATGTATCCCTGGTTAATATAGGAGATAAGTAGCTCATAGATTTGGACTCCTGGAATCTACCTCAAAAAGGAAAAGGAAAAAGAAAAGAATATGAAGTCACTAAAGGCTTAGAATAAGGGCAACTTGGTTAAGTTGCCTTGATTAGGTATATGCAAAAATACGAAATACATAATTTCGGTTGAAGTTTGTTTCGCTGAAGATGGATTCTTGAAAAAGCTACAGAACAAGAGGGAACGAAATTCTCTCCAAGAGTGCAGGTGTTTGATTTGGTGTCGTGTGTCAATACATGTGTGCCATTCAAGATGAACCGGCACTGTAATCTTCCCCTTTAGTGTCATATAATATATCAGAATTGAACCATGGATGTGAACCTGTCCTACACTAACATTCTCTTCTGTCTACAAGAAAGCAACTCAAAATGAGGATCAAACCGAACACAACAGGCACTGAAAGCTGAACAATAACAGTTCTCTGCAACATCTATTGCCTTTGGTTTCAAGTGACATGGATGACAACTTGATGGCTCCATCAGTCCACTGAAAATTTCGCTGCTGCACGATTGTCTGCGTTTTAACTTGCTAAACGAGTTACAGGTCACCTTCTCTCAAACCCTGCAAAGCAAACAAGACACCATGGTCGGGGGGAGACTTCGAGGAAACCCACCAGTAGCTAGTTGAGAGGGTGACAGAGATAACAGAGAGGTCCAAGATAAGCTCTTCCTGTAGCGTCAGCTGTGTAATATCTAACCTCGCGAATCATCCGGTATCACCTTCCAAGTTTGATCCCTTTCTTTTAGCATCTTTTCAAAACCATTCCAGACTTGTTTCTTTTGCCTTTTACCCTTCCATGATACTTCTTATGACCAGTTAACTCAGCCATCACTGAAAGCTGATAGCACCTAAACAAAACTGATCATCTAAAAGGATATATAACAAAAGAAGAGTCTTTAAGTGCAATAGGATCGACGGACGAAATAGCATGAGTGGTTGAAGTGGTAAAAAAACTGCATGGTGACAATAAATGAGACTTCAGATACGTGTATCTACAACTTGGGAAACTCCACTCGTCAAGGGTACATTAGCCCCGTTCCAAAACAGGAAAACACAATTCCCCATCAAAATTGGATAAACAATACATGCTCAAGACCACCCATTAAACAACTTTGAACTGCAATGTTTCCCCACACATGAACACTATTGCATTTCTACTACAATCGCCGATCCCACCTAACTAAATTCGGCACTGGAAACGAAAGAGGCACATTCACAAGTTTCAATAATTTAACAAGGAGTACTTCACCCTCAAAACAATCTTTCCCTTCTCCACTCCCAGCTTTCCACCAGTAACTATCCAATGACCTGGGGGGTCTTGTGGTCCCTTGCTCATTTCTGACATATCGACAAACTTTGCCAACTTGTTGTCACCGGAAGGGTGTTCGCTTGAACCTGAATGGGAGTCACCAGAGTTGGTGCTGCTTCCATTGTTACAAGCTTTCCTTGACATGTCATGTGGTGAATGGTCCCACAGTGATCTTCGAATTGTGCAACCAGGTAGCCGAGAATACAAAAGCTTCATGTATAGAACATTTCTTGACCCAAAATCCCACACTCCAAGTTGAGCTCCGGTGACAATGTAGATACCAGAAAGATCACCTGTGAAGTTCTCTGGATTTTCAATTGGTGCTGTACTAACATGTGAAAAGTTCTTCCATTTGACTGGCTCGAACCATCGACTATCTTGTTCCTCTGGCCCCTGCCACTTGGGAGCACCAATTGCGACATGTGCATCCCAGTATGGCTGAATAATCTTTGGAAGAGATGCAAAGTGTCGAAGCTGTATACATAGCCTATTCTGCTTGCTTCCTTCCAGACGTAACCGCAGGCCTGTGACAGGTTTCCTTCCGACTGATACCTGCACGTTTGTTGAGTGAATCTCAGCAGTACTTCATTTACAAGCTTACTGTTAGTCCAAAAAATGAAAGGGCCACTCAACATCGGTATGATTAGTCACCAAAAATATCCTAGGTTTCACCATTAAATCAATATAAAGCTTGATTGGCCCACCAAAACAAGAAATTACATTATTTAAAGCAAGCCAAGGCAAGTGATGCACTGCATTACTTCATCAATATATATCAGGGGACAACTGAATTTCACCATGATGCCATTTGATTTAATTTTTTAAATTAGCTATGGCTCTCAATATCATACAACAACAGCCCACACTAACTCTTTCTATCATGAAAAGGACCTCCTAACTCTATATTCTGAGCATAGAGAGTTGTTCATACACTTGCTTGATAGCATGCGACAAAATTAGTCATTATCAGAAATCACGCCATGCCTGGTACCCATGTAATTGCATGAGTTTGACCGTTAAGAAACCCAAGAGGTTTACTGATTGATAGTTACACAATTTACTCGTAGTCGCAGACTCAATCAACCCTTAATGGTATAGGCTGTTGAAGGTATATTAAATACATACAAGAGAGAAGGTTCAAGAGAAGGTTCAACAGCTTGATCATTTTGTTCGTGACTACAAAGCGCAAAATACTGCAACCAACAGTATCAAGGCTCAAGTGCACGCGTCCATGCATGACTCTCTCTGAATGGTGACGTGTTTTGCTCCTTATAGCACTACGGATTTTTCATTCTATGCAGATATAGGAAAAATAGCATAGCTGCCAATACCTGCTCTTGGCTGACGTAAAGTTTCTGCCCCATTATACTAAATTGCAAAGATGGACAAACAGGTTCTTTTCTTTGGGGACCCAGAATTTTGTCCTGGACAGGAGCCCATATCTGTGGAATCTGGAACTCTAGAAAGTACCTCAGCTCTTCAATCTGTGGCTTGTCTGCAGAAGTGAAAAGAGAGAGTTCATGTGTGCTCAAAGAAGAAACTAGTGTACTAGAAAGAAGAATTTCGTGTCATCTCCAAAGCCATCAATAGAAGAATTTTGAGTCATCTCCAAAGCAATCAATCTCCTCACATTCAAGATAGAGATCAATAGCTCGAGTCAAATGCTCCTTTCCAGTTATTCCATCAACAAGAGCTGTAATTGTAGAAAAGGTCATCTCGATGATATCAGGAGAAGACTGCACCGTTTTTGCCCACCGAATATGATTTTGCTCTAAATCATCTCCACCCCTTCTCCGGAATATCACTGTAACATCCTTCAATAGTAATATAAAAAAAAAAAAACTTTCAGTTCACGGCATGACAAATAACAAAATAGCATCCGTGCAGTCACCCACATGGAATTAATATTACAATTTCCAACAATTATGACGAGAAAAAGGTCACCATTCTCCAAGTGGTTGTCACATTTATAAACAAAGACTCTGTAATTTTAATTTGCAGTTATCTGTTCTATAAAACACCATCACCAATACAAATTGGAGAGTTTAACATCAGTGCAAGTTGGATGGTACAAATTGGAGGATTCAACATCAGTATAAGTTGGATGGTTCAGCATTGAGTGGCCCATAAATATTAACTAATTCAACTGACAAAAGGGAGGGCCAAGGGCTCTAATTTTCAAACATGCTAAATGCCTTCTCTTCCTGGAACCAAGAACTATTAGTTGGTTGTCTTATATTATAATATTGGTCAACACAGTATGTGAATCAATGACAAAAAGTGGAAAGCATCAATTAATTAATTCTTTTATGATAAATAAGATTTCATTAAGAAGGTACCAAGGGAGTACCGTCCCCGTACAAAACAGCTTCAGACAGAAGCCACCGATATACAAAATTATGCACAAAAGACTGTTTCAATCATTTCCAAATAACTAGATGTATGAAATTGAACTTTCCTGCTATACTGAAATTGAAAAGTGTACAATCAATTATCCCCAAAAGTCCTCTTGTGCCTTATGTAGAAAGCTAATCTCTAACACCGTTTCTCCGTTGTTTTTCTTCCAACAATTGGCCCCCCAGCTCTTGTTTCTTACTAGTGCGCACACACCGTAACTATGATTTATATATTTATTCCTCAAGATGTAATTATCACCCACATCACTTTCAGTCTATCACTCCGAAAAAAGCATCTGCCATCGCATTCACAACAAAATGAAAATGAGATTTTAAGACGCAAACGCAAATTTTTTCATATGATTAACAGGACAGAAAATAAAACAATTCTAAGTTGTGCCCCAGTGCAACAAGGATGCTGGCTAAGGTCATCATGTAATAAGAGTAAAGCTTGAGAACTCATTAATCTGAAATATACCGTCACACAGTTATCAGCTCGTGTATTACAACTAAGGCGCCAAACAGAAAGAACTTCCCCTCACCGCAACATATCTCAAGTATCCACATCTCAAGTCCTCTTATGTAGATATAACGGATTCATTCTTTGTTTTATCGAACTTTAAGTTGTAGCACAAAGAATTGGAATCTAGATTCCACATCCTTCACAGAAGTGATCTGAAGTTTTATCGGCATGCTTAAATTCTGTTCCACCTACAAGCTTATAGACTGACAAACTAGAGTCCGTCTCGATACAGGTTTATTGGGATTACTGCACTGCACTGAATATAATAGGATCCTTGTTTTCTAGAATTATTGAGATCTTTAGTGAAGACCCTTCAAAAAGAAGGTTAATAAAATAAGAGTAACTGTCATAAAGCTGTAGCCCTGTTGGGCTCTAGCGCAAGCTTTGGTATCTGTGTGGACTGCTTCCAGTTCTTTCTGGTTTATGGCAAATATCACAAAAATAAGACAACTAAGACAAACAAGATCAAGATCTCGCAGAGTTTAGATTATTTCCTAAGAAAGTACATGATATCGGAACAAAAATCACCAAAGAGTCCTCCAAGAAGATCAATTTCAAAAGTCAAGCAAACCGGCACTCTATCTGAGAAAGAGCATAATTATGGGAGGCAGAAATTGGCTGCAAGCAAATTAGATTCAAAACTAGTCATCATGTCAACAGCAACTAAAAATCCTCGAGGTAACTTTATGCCCATTACATAATAGGCATTCTTAATCTAGAAGCTAGAAACTGAAGAACAGAGAAAACATATCAATTACTTCCACAACTGTTTCAATTCAAACTCTTGCTACCGTCTTTCCTAGGAAGGCATCATAGAAAATTTCTGCCGAAATGGGCAAAAATAGAGAGACTTTATTTCACAAATAAATCTCGGTACCAACTAAGCAGAATAAGACAAAAAGGAGGCACTTAGGTTCCGTGTCACATAAGCATTCCATCGGAAGAAATAATTAGAAGGTTACTTACTTCTTTACCAGATAGAAATGGTGCCCCCGTAGGCTGAGGGTATACTCCCTGGCTATAGAATAAGTGAGGATCTGCACCCTGTTGAGTTTAAGACAGGTCAACAAGAAATAGTACTGTGAATGATCAAATACACAGAACTATGATATAAGAAAATGAGGAAATAGTTGGCACTAGCCTTGTCCTTAATTTTATTTTGACCTGAACTTGCATGACTCTCTGTGTCAGAGAATCGCTGGTTTCCAATTTCCTGGACATAATTCTTAATTTCCGTAGTTGTCAGAGGCGATGACTGATGTTGTTTGACATAAATCACATCTTTCCCACCGATTGTCACAGAAGTAATCACATGTGTCCCAAAGTTCTCAATGAAGCTGCCAAAATATTAAAAACGATCAACACTAATGACATCAGAATAATAGTTAGAAAATCCAAACGTTACCTTGCTAAGGAGGGTGGGTCCCATGAAGAGGGAACTGCGTGCTTCACGTTTTCTTGCAACACTAAAGGATATTTGCTAATTTCGACCTTAGCAAGCGGGATATAGAACCCATCTGTGGAGAGGGTCTTTGTCGCCGCTGCATCAATATGCTTTGAGCCAGTAAAGCTAAATGCAGCATTGAAGCTCCCTAAAGGAGGGCTTCCTGATAGATTCACCTTTCTATTGAAGAATTCCACCATCTGCACCCACTCATCCAAACACATGGTACAACAATTGAATGAGCACAAATTGGAAGTAAAAATCACTATATATCTTAACAGATAATTGAACAAATTCCGATCATATAGTCCGCACCTCGTAAGCAAAGTAAATTTGAAGATTCTCTCCCTCGCTGTTCTTTCATTAAGGTTTTGAGCAATCCATTAATCTAGTAAGAAATCCAATTTGTGGATGATTGGATGGGGCTCTAGCTACAGATGATTTGCTTCTCCAAAGTCTTCCTTTATCAATTTTTTTTTTCAAATTCTTTATGTTCTCCCAAATGAAATATGATAATAAATTCTATCTTTCTAAAGGTTTGGATTTCATTGACTCGTTATTTGATCTTATCAGTTTCTGACCAATCTAAGGAGATTTTAACCACCTCATACTGCTAGCTCAACACATGGACAAGTGACATATCACAAAGTTGCCAGATTGCCAAAACTGAAAGAAGCAAACACAAATAATAACATAAACGCAGACTTTGTTTCAGTAAATGAATTTTTGCATATCCAACACTCTATTTCAAGAAAATTCTGTAGCCTGAGGAATACTCTTCCTTATTTTCTAATATTTGTCAATCATATGCCTAATAAGGTTGTTGTTAAAGATGTGCTGAAGCCACTCTAATCAATTAACAAAAATGAGCCAGCATTGTATAGCAGTAGCTCATTATCTAACAAAGAGCATCGTCGTACGAAAAATGGAAGATGGAAATGAAATGGCATGAATGTCAGTACAGGCACCGAATACTTAGTATAGGTTCACTCCCAATCGATTTTCTTAGCAAATTAGAAGAATTTGGAAATATCAACTAACCCAGTAGTACTAGTGGCAGAAACATCTGTTGGTCCACCATCACAAGCACATTGCCGCAACAGTTTCTTCCCTTAAACTTTCTAGTTCTCAATTCACAATCCCTAAGTGGGGCACACCTTATGAAACTTACTCCAACATGACAAGCAATAAAAGGCCCCTTTCGATTTGATAGCTAGAGGAAAGAAATTAAGCACCAACGGCAAGACAACACAAGCCAAGCCCTTTACTAGCAAGAGAAAAATGGCTCAAAATCTGACCACGCACAACCCGAGAAACTAAACAATCATCACTCCCATACCTCATCGTAGGTGTGAATCCCAGATTGCTGGCGCCCCCAAGACTCCTGAGAGACACTGACGTCCCTGGAAACACTGGGCACCACCAGATCATCGTACAGCCGGAGATCCCGGGCGTGCTCCTCGTCGACCTGCACCACCCTAGACCCCGCGACCCCCTTGCAATACAGCAGCCTCGTGTCGAAATTCACGTCGAACCCCCGGCCCAGCGCCTGCACCGCGTTCGCCGCGGTGTGCGAGGCTGCCGGATTATCTCCCATCGCTCATCCCCCAGTAAAAACCCACCCCGACCCCTCTCCGATTCCGGCCCCAATCGAGACGCGCGCGCGCACCCCACCCACCCCCCTCCCCAACCCCGGGGAGCTCAGCTCAATCCCGGAACCCTAGGAGACCCTCCTCGACCCACCCTCCACAGCGTCGAGGGTCTCGCGAGCGGCGCGACGAGCTCCTCCGGATCTCGAACGGCAGCCCATTGATGGGAAGAAGATGAGCTGCGAACCTGCCTGCGATCTCTCTCTCTCCGTCCCTCCCTCTCTCTCTCTAGAATGCGGGAGCTTTCTCTCTCATCCCTTTCCTGCTGTTTATATCGTCCGCAGCACGGGGGGGGGGGCATTGACTTCAATGACTCGTCAGTCTCCCCCGAAAATTTTCTCGCGTTTTCTCGCCCCCTTTTCTCGCTCCCTCTTTTTCCCGGAAAATCGCCGGGGTCAGCGCTCCCCTCCCCCCTCCCCCGCGCGCGCGGGGGCGGATCTGAGCCGTTGGATCTCTCGAGCGGCCCGGATGGAATTCTGCTCGAGGTGTGGGGGCGCGGTCATCGCGTCGTTGCGCTCGTGAAAGTGAGAGGGAGTTTTGCTTTTGGAAATTCCGACCTTAGTCAATGTTTTTCCTCGGATTGCTTCTGCGTTGGGGCAGACCGATTGGGATGTTGGACGTGTCGATGTTATCGATCCCCATTTGACTCTTTCTTTTTTTTTCTTGTGGGGGGTCTCCCGCTTCCGAATTTCCTAAACTGCCCCTAGCACGGCGGGGATGCGATGAATTTCTCGTGACCGGTCGGTCGCTTGTGAGTTGTAAATTAGCTGCTCGATTCCCGCGATGCATAGCCACCCCGATTATATTGTGGACATACGTATCGGGTCTTCAATGCTCGTGTGTATCGAGAGGAGCGGAGTTGAATGGTGAAAGACGTCGTATTGGCTCTTTTAGTGGATTTTTTTACTTGGGATTGAGATCTTCTGAGCTTAATTAGGGGTAATTTTGCGTGGCGGATATACCTCCTCGAAAGATTTGCTAGTTAGGAATCAGAGTTATAAGGGCCTCAGTTCGCCGACATCGCCCTGAGAATACCCTAAATTTATCTGATCGGTCTCGCATTTTGGAGGAAATCGCACCCACACCAAAACCCCCAAAAACTCATTCACTCCCTCCTCCCTTCCCTTTTCGCCTACGGCCCAGCGCCGACCACGTCCCTATCGTCGCTTGCCATCGCAACACCGACTTTTTCCACCACCAGCCTCAGTGAGGACCGCTCGATGCGAGACTCGCTCTCGCCGCCCAAGGTTCGAACCCCTTTAGCAGTGGCTAAAAGGCCGGAGTGGCATTTCCGAGAGATTGGGACTCCTTCAATTACCACCAATTTTCTCCGGCGAATGTCAAAGTTCCTTTTATGTTTTCTTTCTCTCATTTTTTTTTTTGGTAACCGAGGATCCGCCACCATTCCCCGGGGACGAGCTCGCACAGGTAATCTGGGCGCCTATACCTCGGGGGAGACTAGCTCAGCAACCCACCGCCAAGGCCCTCCATTTAAATTACGGAACCGAGCAGGAATTCGAATCCAGAACCTCTCTGATAGAATGAAAGCGCTCACCAACTCGGCCATGCGCAGGTGGGTTCTTTCTCTCATTGTTCATGTCTCCCTTTTCCAAATATAGTGACATTGTCAGTAACTTTGCAAGATAAGAATGAGAAATTATATGTTCATGAAAAAAAAAGGGTATAAGAAATTAACCTTTTATAGTAGAATACAAGTTTGTACCTATTAGTAATTATTAGTTTTTTTTAATGCATTTAGTAGCTTTAAAATGTTGAAACGTAAGTTCAAATCTATACGTATTGAGTTTATGTGCATTAATGATGCATTGATTAAGCTAATTTGAACTAATGACGACCGAAATCATGATTCTTTGAACTTTGGTGACATTCGACCCACGTAGGCTTACATCTACAGAGGTAAAGTTGAATCATTGACCAGTTTTTGCTTCCGTTTGGCGTTTTCTTTCCCTCATGTGACGTTTTGAGACCTTCTTTCCGTTCTCTCCACACCGTAAATAAACCGATAAAAGAGCAAACGTTCATAACGAAGTTAAAAAATTTCACCTTTTCTTCCTCTTCCACGTGCTACTTTGTTGCTTCAATTATCTTTGTGGCACTAATAGTTGTCCCTGGCATTTCCTTCCTGATTTATAAGGTTTCACGGTAGAACATGTCTCGAGTTTGAATCGATAAAGAAAACTCGATCTAAGCAGGTTTTCCAGTTTGAGGTATTCCTTAATTTGAGTGGATTTTCTAAAATGGGCCCCTTATTTTGGATACAAATATACATAGGACATGGAATTTTACTCCGTTATTACACACTAGAGTTAACAAGAGTAGTGTTAGGGTTTTCTTTCTAAGTGATTTTCGAGAGAATTGTGAGATAAGACTTATATAGTGACACTTTGGACTGAACCACTTGAATCTCTGGTGTCCTCATCTTTCATTGGTTTTTGTCGTAATTTCGTTTGTTCGCCTAAGATTTAAATTGCGGATTCGTTAACTTCCGCATCATTTCTGAACATTTCATTTTACAGATTCTATGATCTATTCATTCAATGATACGGCTCGCAACCTTGTCAAAAAGAAGCACAAGGTTGGAAAACTTTCATAAAAAAACTAATTTGATGAAAATAGTATGGGAGCTTTTCTCTCTTGATTTAGTTCTAGATCTAGGAGTTGTAATGAATAAGTACTCCGTTTCCAATTTCAATGGTGTTCACAGCAGCTCCAGTGTTAGATATGTGCTCGTTCAATATGTTTTTGTTACAAGCTTTGGCGTCGTGCACTTGCTAAAGGGCTTGCTCTCGCTGAATTTGTTGAACATGTTTTTGTTGTCTTTGTACGGTTATGGTGTTGGGGACACCGAACCTAGTTGCACACCGTCGAAAGATTAAGCTGGAGCTACAGATGGAGACATGGCTTGTGCTTATCGTTGATGATGCGATCCGATAATCAACCGCTGATCCTTTTGCTTAGAGTCACATATCTAATCTCGAAGGACAAGCATGTATTTACCTTTGCCATGCTCTGATGATATACCTTGATTTCTAGATTTTGGTTTGTTTTATAACTCTATGGGCTTGCTTTGTTGTGGTGATTTCTGGAATTTCCTATAGATCATTTCATGTATTATTTTGGTCTTGAATGAAAATTTCCTTTGACCAAAAAGAAAAACTTAATCCATTCTCTTTCTCAACTATTCATATATGCTTATAACATGTTTTTTACGTTGTTCGACTCTTGTCTCGTGTTTCACTCTCACCCAAGATAACCAAATCCATGCCACAAGACTTGGCTAAGGACTCAATGGCCTTACACACCCACCCAAGAGATTAGCTTTCAAAGATCACCCTTGGACACGAGTTTTGGGAGGAATGGATGCTTCACTAATAAAAAAAACTTGAGGATTCAAAGGATGATTACAAATGACTGTAGTACACTTATTTATAGTGTCTTTACTACTACTAATACATGAATGCAAGACCCAGTTACTCACCCTCTAGATACATCCTAATTCAATATATTACATTTATAAAGGTTCATCTCCTCCCTTGAATATATTTTGACTAATCCTAATACATGAACTAATCATATACTTCAAGAGAATGTACTTGGAATTTACTTACTCTTTACTCTTTCTTGTCTAGCACATACATTGTACTTGTTCGCACATTCACATCCCGTTTACATTGTGCATCCTACACGTGCACAACTCTTGATCAGCCCGTGCCAAGTTCATAGCACCTAGTTGATGCGGGTCGTAGCATTCTCCCCCGCCAATATTTAAAATGCCCTCATTTTGGAAACTTGATACTTGTAAAAAGCCTTTTTGAATTACCATATCCACTCCAAGGGCTTCCATGAAATGTCACCTTCCGTTCCTCCCTACCACTTGACATGTTACTCAAGCCTAGTCGGCTTATCCTTCTCCCACAACCACCAATTTGGTTAGGATTTGCTCCATATGGTTGTCATACTTGTCGTGTTGTGTATCGATGGATAGTTGATGGTCCTCCTTGCAACTCGGATCGGTATCATCGAAATGGTGAATTCCGAGGTTAAATCACAAAATCTCCCACTTAAATAACTTTGAAGGTCATGTTTGTCACTTACGGGTATTGCCTTATGATGAACATGAAATGGATTGTTGCGTGAAGATTACTAAAACAAAAGAAATCTTCATATTGGTTCTATCAGTGGAAAGAAGTAACTTTTTCACATTTTTTTCTTACTAAAATAACTACTAGTTCTTCATGTGATAAAGTAGCTTCAAATTAGAAAAAAACAATTTTCGACCTATCAATGTTCAGTAAGTTTGCAATGATAGTAGGACCTTTTCACATAACATAATAAGTCTAACCCCATGTTTTGGAAAAAGTTTAACCATTGTTGCATACGAAAGGATTTTCAAATTCCAATCTTAGTCAATATTTTCTAGGAAGGAAATCACAACAACCTGCGAACATCCAAGTGAATTAGCTCTGCAATTTCCATATTTTCTCTAACAACTACTGAATTGCACTTTTCGCTGTTGATCTATGTCACATCACCTGCATACATTAGTTTGTTAGCAACATAACCATACAACATATTCTTTTCACTTGGAACCTTCAAGCTTATCTTATTAATGTCCCCAAACGTATATGCCACAACTTAGGCTCTCGAACATATGCATTTGACGTCTCGCAACGGAATTTGTCACTATTTCACCTTGAAGCTCATACAGGCCACTGTGCTTGATTCCTCTTACTATCACCAAACACCTCGAATGACATTTAAAACTCCACTTGTTGAAATATATCGACACCCAACCGAAAACATGACACTCAAAAAAATTAGATTCTTCTTCAATTTTGGAATGCGCCTTACTCCAGTTAATATCCTCACGATATCATCATGTTTTCTAATTCTAACATCGCAAACACCTACAACATCGCACTCAGTGTTGTTCCCTAACTACACTTTACTACTA